GACCAGAATTTATGTTTCAGAAAGGTCAGAAAAATTGATGAAGGGCAAAACTGGATCCAGGGAGGCCACTGTAGCAATCCTGGTTGGGAATGAAGATGGACTGAACTTTTTAAACTTTTCTTCTGGGACAGCATGTTCTTTTCTTTTGGTTTTTCTCTTACTCTGCCTGCTATTACTTTTCTGTCTTCTCTGCAGTGACTTTTGACCTCTTCTACATCTAAATGTTGATGCCCTGTAGGGGCATCCACTTTCTTCTCTGTCTCCAAGCACACTCATTAGCCCGGGATCTCTTTCAACCTAATGGCTTTAAATATCATCTGGACACTGACAAGCCCCAGATTTATGTCACCAGCCAAGATTCTCCTCTGACCTCGAGACTCATATATTCAACTGCCTGCTCAACCTCTCTACTTAGATGTTTAAGAGGTATCTCAAAGTTAGCACTAGTAACACTGAACTCTTGATTCTCCCTCTGGATTTGCTAGACCACATTTTCTCCATTATCAGTAATGGAAACTCCATCTTTTAGCTGCATGGCCAAACTTTTGAAATCATGCCTGACACCTTTCTTTCTCTCACACTTGATATCCAACCCATCAGCAAATCCTCTCTGCCTTCCAAAGATACCCAAATATGACCCATTTTTACAATTTCTAATGTTGTCTATCCATGCCAAGTCACAGTCATCTTGAACCTTGGTACTGTAAGAGCCTCCATACTGGAACAGCCTAGATTACTGTAACAGATTATTGTTACAATAGATCACTGTAACAGGTCTTGCTTCCCCTTTGATCCCCTATATGTGGACACTCAATCCAGCAGGTAGAGTTTATCCTTGAAAATATTAGGTCATGTCACTATGATTAACGCTCAGTGGCTTCCCTTTGGTCAAAGTCATAGCAATGATACATCTGGCAGTTTCCCCTCTCATCCCACCTTCTCTGATCTTAGCTATCAGGACTCTTCCCTTTGCCACTCTGCTCCAGGTATCCTGGCCTCCTTGCTCTTCCACAGGCACTCCAAGCAAGTCCCCACTTCACCACCTTTTCATCTGGTATTCCATCTGTCTGGAACGCTCTCTTCCAGACATCCAGAATGTTTGTTTTTCAGGTCTCTTCTTAAATGTAATTTTAATACAGAGACCTGCTCTGAACACCTTATACAAAAAAAGCAACTACTCCCTTCGACCCCACCTGAGCCCCTTACCCTGCCTTATTTCTCTTCATGACACTCACCATCAACACTATAGGTTTTCCGGTTTGCATCCATCCATCTCCACTCACTAAAACAGTAAGTTTTGTGGAAGCAGAAACTGCACCTGTTCAGCCCAGTGCTGCTTCCCCACCACTCCTGCCTAGCATATGGTAAGCACTCGATAGACAGCTGTTGAGTGAATGGAGGGATGGATATGGGTAGAGTGAAAATGGAGAGATGTTGATGAACTCGAGATCTGTTCAGGTGGTAGAATAATCAGACTGTAATGATCTATTGAGTAACGAGCAGAGCAGGAGACAAGAGAGGAAAAAGAGGGGTCTCAGAGACTGCCCAAGATCCACCCCTGGACAAGTGAGTTGATGGTGTGGTTTTGACTGAACTAGAGAAGATGGGATGCAGGACTGAAGAATAGGGGCAGAGGAGAAACTGACTTTTGGAAAAGTTGAGATGAAGGTCCTGGAGGTGGCCGACTCTGGACATGCTAATGGGATTTGTGCTGAGCAGGCATTGCTGCTAGGTGCAAAACAACTATGTGGAAAGGAGATGAAGAGAAGGCCGTGTGTGTGTGTGTGTGTGTGTGTGTGTGTGTGTATGTGCATGTGTGTGTGGTTCTGGGTTATTTTTTAGGGGAAAGCGAAATCCTTCTCATTGCTAAGGTGAATGTGCTGAGCGAGCCACTCCTCAGGAACCCATGGCCTTTCAGAAAGCCATGGCCCCAAGTCTCCAAGGAGCCCCATTGTCTGAAGGCAGCCTTTTTTCTGTCTGACTCTGGGGGTGCGTGTTTGCCATTCAGAACCTACTATATTTTACTGCACCTCCTGACATTGTTACACAACATTTATTGAAAGCACATTTGATGGTAATGAAGTTTCTATTAACTATGATTAAATCTCATAAAGCACCTGAAGATAATTTAAGATGTGCAGAGGCAGAAAATGAAACATTCGGTTTAGTACATTAGGAAATGTAATTGATTAAATTATCTCATTTACAATAAGTGCTTTCATGAGCTATGCGGAGCACATATTTTCCCCAGTTTGTCATTATGATTTGCCAACAGATATCTTAAGACCTCACTTTCTCTTTACACCTCCTTGCAACTCAAAGCCGGCTCTTTGGCCCGCCTGCTCACAGAGCACTGCTCGTGAGCTCTGAGTAATGTCTTCTATCCACCAGGCCTTGCGGAGGATCATGTGTACAGCTATATATGGGAACAGGTTGTTTCTCAATTATCTTCATAATTGACTTTGATTTTGCATCAGTGATGATTCATGTCGTCTTAAACTAAGCCCCTCTTTCACTAAACAACCATAGCTTGAAATTGTAAAATGCACTCCTAACCATGCAGCTTACAGAACCCCAACTGGATTCCTCTGGGAGCCTTTTGCAATCACATTGATTCTGTTAAGGTTTTATTTTTAGGAAATCACAAATTAAAACAGTTTAAGCGATTCCGTTGCAGTATCCAGCAATTAAGCATGGTGTTCACGAGCGAGAACCCCAAGCAAAAACTAATTCAGGAGTCCCTGAGGACTAGAAATAGCTACTGTGGGGTTTATGGCTGGAAGTACAGATGTAACCAAATTAGAATGGCACAGGACTCACAAACTAAGCATGAAATTAATTTTTAAAAAACACAGTCCTAAGTAACTCTCACGGTGGCCACCACATGGATACCCATGATCTTGAGGGTGTTCCACATGACCCCCGGTGGGGGGCATGGCTACGTCACCAGGAGGCAGCTGGGAGTCCAGCTGTCACCCTGAGCTCTTGACACAGGCTCAAGCCAAATATTCACTGAGCCGATTTTCTTCCTCCCTCCCTCAGCATACACGTACCCACACATACACAACCAGGTTCCCCCAACTTCAACCTTCCTGAGTTCAAAATCAAGCCAGCAGGATGTCAGGGGACTACTCCTTAAGTACCAATCATGATGTCAGGGGACTATTCCTTAAGTACCAATCATTGACAGGCCGTGGACCTCAGGGGAAAAAAGTTAAGGAAGTTTGTTTTTGTTGTTCTGCCAAGTTCTCCCACGCTGCAGGTAATGGCCCCATTCTCTCTCAAGTCCGCCTGGAGCAACAACGCAGTATGAACCTAACAGCTTTCCTGGCTCTTTCTCTCATGTTTCCTGACCCCTGTCCCAAGGTAGCTATTTCTGTCTCTCCTCACAGGGTCTTAATTCCTTCAAAGAAGTTAGCTCATAAAAGCTATTAGCTCTCCCAAGCTATTTGAATTTTAATACCCTAGGATTTAAAAGATCAAAAGTCATTCACTTTATATTAAAGTGGGAGATACTGGCCAGGGACATCTTCTACAAGCTTATAAACCAAACTGGGCAGCTCGCTACTTTCCTGTTGCTAAGATCTGTGTTGCTGATGCCCTTCTATCTCAATGTTTCCCTGGAATACCTGACATACTCCTGAATGCTTCAGGATCATTTGAGGAACATATGAACACATAGATTCCCAGGAGGACCCTCCCCCTCCCTTGTTCTGATTCATTTGTTCTATTCTGAGGTGGGGTGTATTTTAGAAGTTTCCACCACACCCCAAGATTCTGATGCACATGGTTGCTGATCCATTTTTTGAGAAATACTTTTCTAAGACAGTCACTCTCAGCCCAAGCTGCACATTGGAATCTGAGGATCTTTTAATAAATAGGCATTCCTACCCTTCTATGTGGAATCTAAAAATGAAAACAAATGAGCAAACAAAACGGAAACAGATTCATAAATACAGAGGACAAGGGGGTGGTTGCCAGAGGGGTGGGGGGATGGTGAAATAGGTGAAGTGGATTAAGAGGTACGAACTTCCAGTTATGAAACAAGTCCCAGGATATAAAGTACAGCGTAAGGGAATATAGTCAATAATATTGTAATAACTATGTATGGTGACAGACGGTAACTGACATCACAGCAGTCATTTCCTAATGTACACAAAAGTCGAATCACGGTGCATATAATATTGTCTATCAACTACAAGGAAAAAATCATATATACTGAAATATGCATTAAAATTTTCAAATCCTAAACAAACAAAAAACAGGGATTCTAATCCACCCCAATTTTGATCCCATTGATCCGAGGATACAGCCTGAGAACTAGGGTTTTGAAAAGACCTCCAGGTGGTTCTAAAGTTCAGCCAAGGCTGAAAACCGTAGGGTCAAATGGCAAGCTGCCAACCATTCACGCTGCACGGCTTTTCCCAAAACTGTTGGCTGTGTACGGTGGACATAATACAAAAGCCTCCCCAGGAGGCCAACCTGTGGATGGAGAGCTCAAGCCAGCACTGACACCAAACTTTTCAGTTCCTGATGATGTCACTGGGGAATACTGGTTTCTGATCTACCCAGTTGCCATGGAGTTCACCGTTTGCATCTCAGGTGCCCCTCCTCCTCCTCCTCCTAGGTGGAGAAGGCTTGTAGTCAGGCTCTTGCCCAAGGCTGCTCTCTTGAAAGCTGGTACTGACAAATATTTATTAATTTTAATGCTATAAATCTCCTTGGCAATAAGAATCCTAGATGACATTTGCAGAGAAATGGACTCATAGGCAGGCAGCATCAAGACGAGAGATTTACTTTTACTTTGAGGGAGGGAAGGGGTGTGCATATTTCCTTTCGATTCCAACCTCTGATATGTGACTCCAAACTCGATGAGGAGAAGCCCTGAAAGCCCTGGGTCTTTTGCACAAACTTCAATTCTGTTTGGCTCCTAAACAAATACAACAGTAAGGCAGCAAATATGAGAATAAATTATATTCACAAGAGGAAAAATAACTTACTTTGGGGTTTTATTTCATGAAGAGGTTTTTTATCTAAAAGAAAGAAAGAGAAAAAGAAAGTTTCATTTAATAAATTTACACGGAGCAGATAGATTTCCTATATCACTGTATGTCCACCTCTATAAATGAAACATTTTCTCTATTTTTGCAGACGATATGGATTATGTTGTCCGTATTTTTCCTGTTCATTCTAATTTTGTGTTTTTCTCTTGTGCAATGTTTTCCTGGGATGATTGCTTCATCCCTTTTATTTATTATTTTATTTTTTCTTTTCCCTCAGGCTTACTAGAGTTTCTCTCTCTGTTACATTTGCTAGATTCTTATCAGCATGATGAGAGCGGTGAGCTCGCAGCGAGTCTCTAGTTCCTATACAGTCAGAAGACTGCTCAGGTAAAGGATGCTATTTCACCGTATGTGATGATGGAAAAAATGAGCTGGTGAATACCTATTTAAAGGGATCCTACATTGGTTTAGTGGTTATTACAGCCTGGATGAAAAAGTTCCAGGCTATGCCGTTTGTTCATCCTTGTTGAGGATGGGTGCAGTATTGGGAGCTTGTTGGAGGTTTGTTTGTTTCCTATCCCTCTGATCGGTTTCACCGTGTACCATCTCTCTGAGTGGCACAGTTTGTTTCATATCGCTCTGAAATCTGACAATGTGTACCATCTCTCTGTAATCGGGGTACTGGGCAGTTCAGCAGGCAGGTGAAGTGGACAGAGAAAACCCATTCAGGGATCAGGCTCAGGTGTAGACCTTTTTATCATTTCTCCCCACTGCGCTCCAGCCACCCTGTCCTGCCCTGTCTGCCATCACTACAGAACCTTGTAAATCACTTTGAGACTTGGTGCCCATGGCTAACTTTGTCTTAGATTACAGGCCATCTACTTCCCAGTCCCCATTCTCCGGCCGTCCCCGGCCAACACAACTCCACCACGACACAGAAACCTGAGAAGAAGGTGCTTTAGTCATGGCATCAAGATTCCAGAAGATTTGCATGGCGTGACCTCCCTCTTCTCAGTGCCCTTCTGAGGACTTCGACGGAACACGGTCAGACTGCAAGCTCTGAGGCTGTTGCTCATTATTCACAGAATCACAGGATGGTAGGGGGACCTTGAAAGGTCACCTTACACAGTCCCTTTCCTCCACTTGCCTGAAGGCGAGCCAAGCGGGGTGAGACACTGTCATTTTGGATTACGTTTTTAACGGCATCAAATCTCGCCCAGTGCATATTGGAGAACTTCATAAACATTATCTGACTGCCACATAACCCCTCCCAGGCAGAGAGACACAGCTATATTCTGAATCCTTCACGAGATATGTGTTACCCTAACCCACTCCTGCCCTTAATACTGATTCTGACAGAAAACCCTTGCGGTGTGCTTCACTGAAGACAGCTCTCGTGTGTTCTGCCATCTGATTTGTTATGGAAGTAGCTTTTAAAAGTTGTAAGTCACAGTCTTGCAAAGGGACCACCATTTTGTCTTTTTCTCATCACAGGGAGAAAGGTTAACTGGCAAGGGGTAATTCCTGACCAATCTCTCTTTAAAATGGAAAATCTTCATAAAAGATAATGATTTGCTCAAGCAAATTCAGATTTTTATACCATCAGGTTTCTTAAAACAGATAACACTTACATCCCCCTTCCCGCACGAATCGAGGGCAGCTAGTTTGCCTGAGAGCAGGTGTCACCTCCCAAAGTCCAGATGCTAATGCACTCAAGAATTAGAATCCAACGACTTTGGTGGTTTTAACCTGACTTCAGTTGTTGCTTATTGCCTGCTATCAGAAAGAATTTGGCATGGGTGCAGGATGCTGGCAGGCCAGGCCAAGACGTCTGGAAGTGATGCATTGCTAACGCTGCACACAGAGACAGGCAGAACATCTGTTTAGGACTCTAGCTGAGCTTAACAGCATTTTCTTCCTCCCAAACCACAGGAACGAAGATTATGCTGGGGAGCAAAATGAAACTCCATTAAAAACAGGTGAGATATAGAACCACTCCTCAGAAAATAAGTCAAATACAGTCAGGCTGTTAAAACACTGAGGTGATCGGGTGCAGCTCTACAGGAAGAAAGAGTGAATGGGGCGGAAAAGCCAGGGCTTAACTGGTCATGAGACAAAATCGGGCCACAAGGGCACACAGGGCAGAAGAGTGGGGCATTTCCCTCTCTGACCCAGCTCTGGGGTCATCGTGACTTGCAGTGGCGTTGTGGAAATTGTGCAGACTCTCACGGTTAGAATAGGCTTTCCATTGTGAATGGTCTTCATTCTATCTGTGTGACCTCAGTGTTCTCCACAGTAAAATGGAAATAGTAATGTCCTTGAGCGTCGGTGCTGAAATTAAACATGATAAATATAAAGCCAATAGCCCAGGGCTGGCACGTGTTCGGTATTGATAAATGGTAGCTGATACGTAACTCAACATGTTATGAATTAAGATCATCATTAAGATCATTTCAGGCCATGGCCTGAGACAAGTCACAACGCCAAATCAGAAATTGTAGTGGATTTCAGGGATTCCTGAAGGGAGTTAAGAAACTTGTGTCCAGTCCTAGCTTCTGCTTTAGGAAACTGAGCACAAGTGAAAACTTCAGTTTCCTTATTGGAAAAAAGAAGGACAAAGACCAGCAAACCCCTGTGGGCTCCCTAGCTTTCACCCACTATAAATCTGTGGAGTAACAAGCAGAGGCCTTCCACAGAAATCCATGTGGAATGATTTCCTAAAGCAGAGTAAGAAATTATTCGAACGGCCACTGCTCTACTGTAGGATTTGTCATGCTAGGGTCCGGTGTGTCAGTGTGCATCCTCGAACAGAAAAGGCTAGAAACCTCGGGGGCCCAAGAGAACTTCAGTCCCCTGGCATCAGCATCAGAATTGGGTCCTGCTGGATTTTGTGAGATACCAGTATCTTGACAGCAAGCTGTTATCATTAAACCTTTTCCCGGTTTGAAATATCAAAGATTGTTCTACCATGAACTTGAGAGAGGGAGAGGTCTACCCACCGACCTCACTATCTTTTGGAAGAACTGCCCACCCCACACTCCATATTCTTTTATTGTTTGCAAAATCATTCTCACAGGCCCTGGGCCATGCATCCACTTGGCCTTGGTCAACCAAATCCTCTCTGCTTTCATTTTACCTCTCTCCAAGCCCATGTTCAAATAACCCCCTAGGAAATTAATCCATTAGGGCCATGGTTCTTAATGTCGGCTGCACATTAGAATCACCTGGGGAGCTTTTTAAGCAAATACCCATGCCCGGGCCCCTGTCCAAGACCTTCTAATTGGGGTTTGTGTTTTTGTGATTACCAAGTGTACCACTCCTTCCTGCCAACAAATCTGGGGCCCTGCATGTTCAACTTCAGTTAGTCTTGCTTCCCTGAGAAGCTTCGGGGTGGCTGCAGTATACAGATGGACCCAGAAGGAGCCCTCCTTTATCCTACAGGCAGAAAAATATAATTTTGAGCTAGCGGCAGCTGAGCTGTAGTTTGGGAAAATCACAACTTTTCCTGGGGTCTAGCTTAGACACCGAGAGGCACCTTCTGGGTAAATGGAAACTGATGTCATTACAACTCAGTCTTATAATGATTGTGTGCATTTACAAGTTAAAGATGCAAAAGTCTGTGTGTTTTTTTTTTTAATTTAGATTCAATTGGCCAACATATAGAGAACATCATTAGTTTCATATGTAGAGTTCAGTAATTCATCAGTTGCATATAACACCTGGTGTTATATGCAAAAGTATATTTTAAATTGTAATGTTTTCTTTAAGATCCTTTTTATTATTTACACAGTCAGTACACAGTGTTCCAAAATAAAATATATATGTAAGTACAAAGAAAAAAAACATAATTCCACACCAAGAGATAACCATCATTAATGTTAAGTTATATATACACAACCTAGTCTTTTTCCCCCTGTATATGTTTATATAAAACTATGCGCACGCATATATGTTTATACATATATATTTGCAGGAAACTACAGAAGATTGATAGTAATTGATCATTTTTACCTACAAAGACATGGAATTGTCTTTTGTATGTTTTTTTGCAATCTGCTTTTGTCTGTGGTGTGTGTGTGTACAGAGGTATACATATTTATATATAAGAATGAGGAAAAGGGAAAGAGAGGACAATCTATCTTTTTATTTTTGGTAGTGATTCATTTCTTTGCCATTTTACTTTTCTTGCTTCGTCTGTTATAGGAGACGCTCCTCAAGCATTTCCATGGTATCCATTGTTCTTAGGAGCTATTTATAGCTGTACCCCTACCTTCCCACCCACAGCCAGCCTTACCTTTCTCTGCTAGGAAACAAGGGTGGCCAGCTATGTGTATCCTAGCCCCTATCCTAGCGACGTAAAGAGAGCAGGCCTGAGGAGAAATGGCACGTGGGGACAGATGAGTTCAACTCCAACCCACAGAGTGGGCAAGAGACTGCTTCTCAAAACCTGGGGTTGATTATCTGAAATCAGCTCCTCTGCCTTTTAAAGACTACACAGGTATGTTCGATATCAGAGTCTATGTCACTATTTTTGAGAATCAGGCACAGAGCCCACTCAGTGTGACTGAATACCCACCAGGACAGTGAGCCCGGACTCTCCTCCAAGGCAGCAATTCACATATGTCATTATAGTTAATGATTATTACCATTATCTAATTTCACTAAATCAGTCATGTCCCATTTTTTTATCTCCAAAGACCATCTTTATTATTTCCTTCATAGATCCTATGTTTGAAACCCTTTCCACCAGCTCCCCCCCCAAAAGATACGTGTTGACTGTTTTATTTTGACTCTCCACATTCTTCATCATCTTAAAATATTTAAGAGCTGATTTCTGAAGTTGGTGGAAGAGTCAAATCTTCTTTCTCACCGATTCTCTAGCTATTTTTGTATTCACTGGAATAATTCTCTAGCATCAGCCGCCAGGAGTCTACTATGATTCCACATTGCCTGCAAGTCGTGGCCAACTGCTCTGCCTGCCTTTCCGGTCTTCTATGAACTGGTCCCACCAGTAACTTAGTTTCTGTTAG